TATATTACAATTGTGTGTTCCCAACTTTCTATCCAGCTACACCTCAACGATATAAATTAACAATTGCATAATTTCCAAGTGAGAGTGATCCATGTAAGGCTCAAATCTTAGGATAATAGTGTGCATAGTAGATGCAAGAGAGGGACCAGGTGCGGGAAAGTAGCAATTTCAAAAAAAATTATGTAATGTGTAGGTATAGTATAGTTATATACCCGTAAAATTAAGTTAAACAAAATACTGGTGTTAAACTAGCAACAAAATTGCAGTGCTTAAATGTTTCAAGGCCTCCACTCTCTTAGCCTCATTTTTCGATTCCTCTCTTTGGTCTAGAATTATGTCTTTTCAATGCTAAACCACAATTTTATGGTCAACTAGTTCCCAAAAAGCTGCCCCAAAAATAAAATTCAGAATGTTTGGTTCAAAAAATTTCATGTGAAAGAGGCAATTTGCCACGGTTAACTTTGTTATTGACTTGATCACACAAGCGAGTTTCGAACTGCATTTAAAAAATCGTAAACTAGAGGCAAGGTTGACCCTCTTTGTAATGAAGGTGCCCTAAGTTGAATCTGTATTAATTTTCGATTCGTTATGAGTTTCTTCCACATTTCAACTTTGATTAGAATTAGTTTGTTTCCTTTATATCTATATTTTGAATCCAACTTTAGAAAAGTACTTTTTAAAACAACATTTCTAATGATTTATTTGAACACTTCATAGTGAAAAGAAATAGCTTGTGATAGAATCTATCCATTATATCCAATCCAACTTTAGAAAAATACTTTTTAAAACAACATTTCTAATAATTTATTTGGACACTTCATGGTGGAAAGAAATAGCTTGTGATAGAATCTATCCCATTATATGCATATATAGGGGTATCATGAAGACCATTTTACTTGTATAAAAACTAAAAGATAGTAAAACAATAGCTTTAACAACATATTGAGTTAGTCAAACTGCATAGATTAAACAAAAAAAAATGTAAAGAAAAGAGTTAAGTAAATGCACGCGAATGCGGACAGAGAAGCAATAACAAAAAGAGAGATAAGAAGACCAGTATTTTCATTACATATGTTGCATTGGAGGACACAACCCTAACGGAAGTAAGGAAGTCTTAATGCAAGCCATCTCTGTCATTCTTTCATTAAATGCATAAACAATAGTTATTCATATACTTTTTCATGGATAGCAACATCTTCCATCAATGGCGTAATGTATCTGAGTTGAGAATAAAATTTCAACTCTGTAGTCAGAAAATTCTATAAATTTTTGGGCATGTCCATCCTTCAAGAGCCAGCAATTTATTTTCTTACCTCCAGCACATTGTACACCACATATAGTTTGATTGTGCCTTGACCACGAATCATGTGATATATCAGGCTGATATCTGAGGCAGCAAAACACAGAGAATATAAGGTTAACATACCACCAAACCTAATTAACAAATTCATGTCTTCATACAAAACAAAGCAGGCTACTATATCCTATGGTGGTAGGAAATTGTAAGTTGTAAAACTGAAAAGGTCAAATTCGTTGATGGACCTGTTAGTTGTAAAAGAGTGACTCCAGCAGCAAGCACAATAAAACAGCCAAAATCAGACAGCTCTGCAGCTGAAAGCCTCTGGAACTGCCTGCCATAACCTTGGTTTAGGTTATTTTGTAATACTACAAATTACCAAAACTCAAAGTACAAGTGCAGATGCACACAGAGACAACCACAAGAAAAAATAATAAAAAAAAAAAGTGAAATCGGCAAGTGAAAGCAGGCTCCTGATTTTAAAGCAGTCCTTTAAATGTAGAGGCTCTAGTTCTTCCTTTTTCCTCCCAAATGCATTTTGCAAAAGACAAAAAAAAAAATGAAATAAAACTAGAAAAAAAATTCTTCCTACTTGAAGCCCAAAACCGGAACAGATTAGCGCAACTGGTCCTCTAATAAACAGTAGTATAAAGAAATCTAGAAAATAACTATTGGAAAAATTGCCAGCTTTTAAAGATCCCATGACAATCTAACATGGAACACAATGTGGGATTTATGTTCATAGTTTCAGCTAACTTTCCACACTTTCCCTTCAGGACTGGTTTCCAGTCACATGCATATGCAGAGGTGACAAACTACGTGGTCAAATGCTTAGCACAGGACTATTTTCTGCCTTTCTTTCAAGCCAATTTCCTGTAGGGCACAATACATCTAAGCAATATGCAGGTTCTATTTTCTCCTTTTTTGTTATGCCTGTACGGTCTTTCCCTGAAAACATTTTCTACTTGAAATATTTAACAGAAACACGCTCCAACCATGAATAGAACCCATCGGCTTCTATAAAGTTTGGCAATCACCTGGAAAAATCATGTCCAGTAGCCCAGTTCATGCTCTTCCTCTTCCACTTCTCTATTTTCAATTTCTTCGATTCTTCGATCTTTTCACCTACATCAGTTTCATATTGGCTTGATAAGATACTCCACATGTTCTATCTGCTTTCCTTGTGTTCAAGAGTCTTTAGAAGTTTGCATTCAACCTTTCAACCATTCCAACCTCTTTAGATGACAACGAAGAAGATTTGAACCCACACCTCCAAACCTCCCTCACAGATGTCATGTGGGCACCCTGGCCATAGAGCCATTATAGCACTGGCTTCCCATTGTCTTCAATTCCACTTCCCTGATTTATTAACACCTTTTCACGATCTTATCACACCAGTCTGATAATTTATCCATAATTTCTCATTATTAGAAGAAGGATTTTTTATTGGCAACGTAGTCTTGTTTGAAAGGACGAATAGCTTGTTAAGCAAGCAAGCCTACATAAATCCCAGTTCTTTCTCTTCCTTCTTTTTTAGTTTAGTGACAGTTCATCAAAAGAATTGTCCAAGATTGCTAGATCAAGCACGCGACGCGCATATTCTTAAGTCCAAGAGTGGGTTGTATCCTCTTCAACATTTTCTACTACTTCTTTGCCTCCCGGCATCTGGGTAGCTCCGAATACGTGCATTGGGGCTCTTGGCTCGATGTCCCAGGTCGCTCTTTTGTAAACCGTTGTTTTGCCGGGCGGTGGTTTATTTCTAACACCCCCTTACTAGATCAAACCAATAAAGCTTCATTGAATGAATCAACTTCTCCCTCCCGGTCAATGGTTCGGGGAAAAGCCTATCTTAGTGATGTTCACAAAGGGGAAAACCTTCATTCGAAAACTCGCGTTAGCTCGTTTTGGACCACATTCTACTTTTGAACCCTTCAAAAGCAGCACCTACATGACTTTTTCTGGACTGCTTAGGAGAGTACTAGGTCTATGTTACAGGTCTACCATTGTCTCTACAAAAGCACAAACATATTTTGTTTCATCTTCATGTTTGGCTCTGAAAGCACCCCATACTAGGTTCCCTCCTCAGCGTTGTAGTCAATGGCTGAGCACCCTCTTCTGGCATGCCTTTTTCTTTATATTTTGTGCGTATGTGTGTTGGGTTGGGTTGGGGGGGGCGATGGAGAATGTGTTAACAAGGAGTCATAGGTTGGGAACATCTTTCTTAATTAACTCATAAGTTAAAATCCCCAGAACACCACAGTGTAAAGTCCGAATAATAATAACAGAATCAATTGAAAGGACAAATCCACTGCAGGAAATTATATTATGCCCATGTGCTGGATTTAAATGGGTCTCTTGAAATTTAAAAGCTGGTTTTTATTGGGCAACATTAGTCTACCAGCATCCCTCATCTTCAGGTTCATATTGCTTGACTGCTTGAGCATTTGCATTACACTTAACCATCCAAATAGAAAACAAAATGAAAGTTTAACTTTTGCAGAAGAATCAACAAGAGTGTAATGCACTTCTCATCTTGAGCAAATTCATTATTAATTTTTATAACCATCCATTTTCTTTAGCTTTCTTGGTAAGAGCATATAACCTATTAATCTCCTGTTCATATGTCCCTTTTCTTTTAGAAAAAAGAAAGGCAGGCCTGATAGAGTGGGGTCTGCAGCTCAAATAAAAGCCATGAAACAAGTAGCAGGCAAATAAAAATGGGAACTGGCACAATTCGCAGAATTAGAAGCCTTTGCACAAATTTCTTCTTTGTAATTTGACATGAGCTTTTTTGATATTTTAGCTGACTCCTGGCTTTATCTTGAGATTAACTTAGTCAATAAAATAAAGCAGAGAGCAAAGTATGGAGCTTATGTGACTATGATTTCTAAGGGAATGACAAATAAAATGGTAGACTTGAATTCAAACTAGCGTAAAGCATCCAATTTGTTTTCGATACATCTACGTTTCAAGGAAATAAAACTCAAGTACAATAACATCTCTTGTTCTGAGAAGTAAATCACTCCACCAATGCTCCTCACTGCTACCTAACAGAGCACTAGGACCACAAAGTTTCTTGTTGGTTTTCTGAGAAAATAATAAATTAAATCAGAATTGGAATCTTATTCATGTATGAGGTGCTACATTGAACTGATGAAGTTTCACTCTCTATCTTTATTTTCCAGGCTCCTCCTCGGTCCTGTAATCCTGCTAACAAATTGGAAATTTTACATGCTACAATCTCCTTTTTAAGGATGTGGCATTTACTATAATGTCAAATGACACAAGAAAGTGCTGTGAGGAGAATGATAGAACAAATAATATCTTCCTGTGCAGTAGCAGGAAGAAAAAATCCACATCTTTGCTTTTGCCCAAGCACTTCTCCAAAATATTAAAACTAAGAACATCAGGTTCTAAAAGCTTACTACTATCTGTGCAAGAAAAACGTCTCCAATTCATGATAGTTGATCAGAACAGTCCACATTAGACCAGTTCCACAATTAGGTTTCAATGGTAAAGCAGGGAAAAAAATATCCAATGCATATTAATCGAAGAGTATGCAAATGACAAAAAAAGCAACCTTTAATAAAACATTTTTTATGGTCAAATGCAGTTAGAGGGTCAAAAAGTAATACCCTGGCATGTGATATCCTACTACTACTATATTCCATGAAAGAATTATTTAAATAAACAAGAAACAAACCTTGTTTTAAGAAGCCTCCAAAAGGTCATAAGAATCCTTGTTGGCATCATAGTCAACAGTGACAGAAACGAATCGAAACAGACGAAGTAGCCAACATCTATAAGCTGCAAAAGCATTGTCATCCTTAAGAATCTGTCATAAAGAAATTATTTTGTGTAAATCAATTCAATTCATAAACTAGACAGCCAGTACAATATATTATATATGGATTCCCCTTTCAAACTTCAAAAGCTCTCTAATACTTGGAGGAGAGAAAAAGGACACCTCTTTTTTTTTATTCAAGTGCTAAAGCGAAAAAAAGGACACTTTGAGCAAAAGGTGAGGTCCAGCCCTCAATCTCTGTATAGCAATGTAGGACCAAAAAACTACATCCTGAGACACAAAAACATGCATACACATGCATACATATATCTAACACCAAAACAAAAAGAAAAATGGATATTTGTGACAACGACCAAGTATATGACTCAAAAGTATGTAATGCTTCATAAAGTTGTGATAGGACAGCCACTTCACCAGTTCACATCGCCATGGCAAGCGAAATATCGTATCGTACACTCTTTCTCGTTCTTTCTCATTCCCTAGAGTCGTAGTCCTCCGTAATGAATTTCCACCATGCATCTCTTCCATGAAGTATTTCACAGGTAACTTCTCCACAGAAAATGTGTCTGACATAGTGCAGGAAGAAAGAAAAGATATTGGATTTTTTACAATTGCAATTTACAGTGAACAAATCAACGGAAAATGGACCTGAAATTAAATATAGTATGACAATATTCCAATCTAAATTTGTCCTTGATCACAAAATCCCAGGAAAAAAATCATTCTATAATCAGTATAATAAAAATCACATTTTAGCACTCCTAAAGCTAACTTCTGTAGAGGAAACAAGGGTATGACCATTGCAATAAAAAAAAAAAGCAGCTTCTAGAATCAAAGAAACTATCAAACAATAAAAGCTTCTAAATAAAGAAGTTAAAAAAACAGTAACAAAAAATCAAGTATAAAGTATATGCGATTTTTATTTGAAGCTAGATACAACGGATGGAGAGAGAAATATATATAGACTTGCTTAAGAGAAAGAAAAACTAAGCATGTTAACCACATAGTATATCTTAAATAAGGATTTAGAGTGCTGATAAAAAAATGAGGAAATTAAGGAAAGCGGAAAATCTTATTTTGAGAAATTATTAAATGAGGATCATATAGGAAACTCAGAGGTTGGACAATACAAAAATCAAAGTGAGACTAGCGAAAATAAGTTTTTTCTTAGAATTGATGTGTTTGAAGTAAATAATGCATCAACAAAAAAACCTTAGGACCACATGGTGTACCGGTTGAGGTTTGAAAGTGTATAGAAGATGTAGGGGTATCGTGCTTAACTAAACTACTTAATAAGATTATAACAACTAAGAAGATGATAGATGAGTGGAGGAATACTGTTTTAGTACTTACATAAAAACAAATGGGACATCAAGAGTTGCACAAATTATCAAGATACTAATTTAATCAGCCATACAATGACAGTTTGGGGGCCAGTGATCAAGCAATGACTAAGACTTGAAACAATGGCATCAGAGAATCAATTTGGATTTCTGCTTGGGAGATCAACAACTAAAACCATATACTTAGTAGACTAATGGAGGGTTATGGAGAAAAAAAACAATCTTCATATGCTATTTATAGATTTAGAGTAGGCATATGATCGAGTTCCGAAGGACATAATATGACGAGTTTTAAAAAAGAAAAGAGTTACAAAGAGATAAATTGAAATGATTATGCATTGTGTTGTTATTCAATCTTCTTGAAACATAGTGTTGACAATATGTGGCAAATGAGTGTGTATGCTTGCTTGTGGAACCGTGGTGAACTATATACACAGGGATTGTGACTCTTTTGATGAAAGAAACTCTGCCGGGATTCTTTTTTAGCACCCTTGGGACATGGGGTCACTCATATCCCTACTGTTAAAGCACCTAAAACGAGGTAGCTGTCGTGACCTTGGTCAAAAGACTATAGATACTTCTTTATGTTGCACCAATCATTATGTCAAATGATCATGATATTTGAGAGACAAAGATCAATCCAGTGATATGCATTTGTATCGAAAATTTTAGCTTTTATGGTACATTGTCATTCATTTTTCGCTCGATATCATGATATGAATTGTTACATGAGTTTGATTTATTGAGCATGAGCTCATTCGTTACATTTTCATGTCAAAGGCATGGCGGTGAAGGAAGCCACCCAGTTCCTGAGTTATCTCAAAGCTTGTTGCTTGACCAGTGATGTGTATCATATCATGTGTGTTTAGTGGTATCTAGTTATTTCATGGGATTTTAAGGGCTGTTTCAGGTGAGCAACTGCAGTGCTTTTCTATAAGAACTCTGTGAAATGTAGATGTATATACTCAAGTGGTCCTGTGGTAACTTCAAGGAGACTTGTGTACAATGGTACAATTTAGAGGTTGATATATGGAAGACAGTGTGTCACTATGACCTGTTTTTCAGTCACTATGTAGTATGTAACTTGCGAATCCAAGTTTGCTTTTCCAATAGCTTGTGCTAAAGTGCAATCTAATTATCATATTTACACTGTATCAACCTTCAGAATTTGGAGCGTGACAACTATGGTGCCTGTGATGGAAAAATAATGTGTTTGCGAGACCAGGAAAACAGGAGATGAGTTTAGGAAATGCATAAGAATGTCAATGGTAAATGGATTACTCGAGTATAAATAAATCACCTACAACAACCAACAAAAAGATCAATCAGCATTACCATTCGTGGATATGAAATTGATCCAAATGCAATTTTCGTACTTTTTAGAGGTTACTCATCCTGTGTGTCTAGAATCCCAAACAGGCCAACTATGAACAAACATTAATGATAAGCATTTGTCAACATGGATCTTACACAAGATCTAAAAAATTTTGAAAAAGTATTTTCTCTCCTCTCATTTTTAACCTTGTTTCACATGTTCCACAGTTCTTCAATAATTTCAAAACTCCCAACCACCCTTTCATGCTCAAGAATTGTTCTACAAGGCATTCACTGTTTCCTTAATTTGATCTCAAAACCACATAACTCACCTCATCGAGTTCAGCCCTAACATATAAATAATGTAGAATCACCAACACCATTTTCAACTGGCAAACTAACAAGTCAACCCAAGGACACATGCTGGCCATAGAAGGTGTCCCCGGAAACCATTTGTTTACAAGAACTGTAAAATGATTTTTTAACAACACTAAGCTACATATTTGAAAGCTTAAAATATGTCATGTAAGATATGACTACTTTCACCAGTATCAGGACAAAAAAGTTTTGCAGGCATGCCTATTCCTGAAGGGAGTATTTATATAATCCCAAATCCAGTAAGGCACTACAAATTACAAGTCATTTCCTTCAAACAAATATCAACCGCAGCAACAATATGTTTATGTATTTCAACTTCATTATTATCTTCTACAGTATCTTCTTTAAATGGGGATTTATATATAATTTCAAATTCAGCGAAGTATTACAAGTTTTTTCTTTCCGAGCGTTAAAGCATTACAAGTTGTGACTTCATAGAATTAGTCAATTATAAATAATGAATTTCTAATTCTTATATTTTATCATAGAATTGCCAAAGGGGAAATTGTTAGGAAATTGTTCATTTATACAAGTTATTTCTTTCAAACAACTACCAATCTTACCAATAATATCATGGAGATTCCGACAATGTCGAAAAATCAATACTTTGAAAACTGAGACGCAAGAAGAGATTATTCACTTACAATTCGGATCTTCCTCCATAAATTTCTTCCAGTCCAACGACTCTCCCTTTCCCAATCTCCTCCCAGCATCCCCATTCTGCTCCACCCGTTGTTTCCCCATCGCCAAATCCAATTCCTGACCGCTACTACTCCTACCCTCTTCCTTCGCATTCTTATCAATCCGCGAATCCAAAACTTCTGCTTCCTCATTCCCTCCTCCTCCTCCTCCTCCTCCTCCATTTGCAACACTCCTCTGCCTCAATTCCCAACCATGCGAATTCCCAAATTCAGGTCCATTTACCGAACTCACTGTGCACACAATCTCTCCACCACCACTCCCTTCCGCCATCACCACTTCCTCACATACAACACTGGAAACACTATAATTATAACCCTTACAATCCGATTCCAATTCCAATTCTTTCGTACAATTACCGTTCTCGAAAACCCTCTGATTCACAGAATCATCCATAACCCCCTCGATGCCTCCATCGGTGACTGAATTTTCGGATATCGAACACTCCATCAGCTGCTTCTTTTTCTTCTTCCGTTTTCGGCGGTTAGGATTTGATGCGACGCCATTTTGGTGAATTGGAGGCCCTGAATTGGATCTGTAGATGGGGGTCTCATCGTCGTCGCCGTCTTCAAAGAAGGTGCTAGCGGTGAGTACGTCGAAGGACAACTTGCGTCCACCATACCTCAACGCCATGGTTTTCAAGAGAGAGAAAGCTATGGTTTCACGATGAAGACGAAAAGCTGGATAATCTCGCGAATGCTAGTGGAAAAGGAGTGACGTATTACGACAAATAAATGCGTGCCACGTTTCTCTTACAGTGAAAGACTTTTGTTTTTTTGTTTTTGGTCTTTGCCCACAACAAGATTTTTTCGATTCCCAATTTATATCCAGTATTTATAACACGTGTCTAAAGCATAATAAAACATAAAATTTGATCGTTTAAAAAATTAATTTTATTATATTAAATAATAATTTTTTTATTTTTTATTTATTTGATTACATCATTTAAAATTAATTTCTATCTATTATTATTTAAAAAATTAACATCAAAATTTTCTAAAAATTTATAATTCGATAAAATTTTTTCAACACGTGTACATTATTGTGTATAGATAATGTATGAAATAATAATTATGTTAAACTACAAATTAATCAAATATTAAATGAATAAACATATGATAGAATTGGGTGATGAGATGATTTTAGAAGGAAAAATATGTGTGAGATAAAAATTCAATCTTCTAGGTGTTTTATTATATAGATATAACAAAATAAAATACAATTCAAATATCAAAAGATAAATAAAATAATTTTTATTATTCGCGGTTGAAATCGTTTTAAATTTTATTTTAAAGTTAATCTAACGGTTAATATTAGCATCCCAAATTTAATAAGAAAAATAAACCTCTAAAGACATGTTTAGAGTGACTTTTTAAAAATACTTTTACGAATTATTTTTCATAAGTACTTTAAAAAAAAAATTGTATTTGAAATCACCCCACCACTACCTCTACCACAACCACTCCCACCACTCCACCACCCACCACTACTACCACCACCCCACTACCATCACTATCGTGACCCTACCATACCCACCACCCCACCACCACCACCATCACCATTTCCATTGCCCCACCACTATTACCACCACTTCCACCGCCCCACCACCACCACTGTCGCACCACCATACCATTATCATTACTGTCCCACCATCACTCCTACTACTCCCACTGTCCCACCACCACCACCACCACCATCACCAACCCACCACCCCTACACCCACCATCGCCACACCCACCATCGTCACTGCCCCCACCTTCACCCCCACCCCACCACTACCATCGTCACTCACCACCACCATCATCTTATTATTGTATTTATTATTATTACCATTATCATTTCATTACCACCGTCGTCTACTGTCAGCACTCACCACCACCCATTGCCACTAGGCACTGTCACCTACCCCATCGTACCTACTACCACCACTTGTTATTGCCAACCACTACAGTCACCCACTGTCGTCTATCCCTACCACGCTTACCACCGCCGTCATTTGCCACCATTCATCACACTGTCGCCTAGAAGCACCCATCGTCGTCCACCACTACCATCATCACTGCTCACTAACACCGTCATCGTCCTACCACCACCACTGCCAACTACCATCACCGTCATCCACCACCATTCACACCCACCACCACCATCACCGTTGCCACCCACTACTGTCACTACCATCATCGTCACTCAAAACTCACCACCATCATTACCATTGTCACCCACAGTTGCTACCACCACTACGATCGTCGCCTTACCCATGTCTCCCATCATCACCACTATCGCCCACCGTCATTACCACCACTCACCCCCACTACAATTGGTGCTTAAAATTTTTTATCTCTCCTTTATGTTTGTGATTTAATTTTTGGTATGAATATAAATATGTTAACCATTTTTTTTTATTACTCCGTGTCTTCAAGCACAAGGAATAACTAGTTCTTAAATATTAAAACCTTTTCTTTGTATTTTTAATGTTGTGAATCGAAAGTAATATGAAACTGACTCAGACTGTCATTCAATTATTTATCATAAATTAAAGGACTTAAGGTGCAAGTACTTCTCGCAAGAGGATGAGATATGTTCATCACTGTAAAATTTCATCTGCAATCAATTTGACACCTTTTTGTATATTAAAAATATGAATTTTGCATATGAGAATTCCTACAATGGATTAAGATAGCGATCATCCGAATGATCTCGAATGGCAAACTTGTAGAGAATCAACAAGGTCAGGAAAGGGACCGGGCGTGCACCTAACGTACCCTCCCCCCCCCCCCTCGATCTTTAAGTCAGTCGGTGTTCAAGTATGGAATAAATGCATAATGCAGAGCAGATTAAGCTTATGTACCTTTATTTTGCTTCTAGAGGGGCATTTATACCTCAAATTGCAATAATGTCTCTCCCATTCAGAGTCTCATCCTATACTTTAGTAGCTTGTGCTCATAATTTAGCAAAATAAGTGTCATTTCGTCACACCACATTAATGTTGAGTGATTGGGTGTTTGAATTCGCACTTAAGAATAAGCCGAGCATTCATGGCTCCATCCCCTGACCATCAAGTGCTCTAAACAAATGCACAGAACCTACGGCCGAGCATTTATAAGTAGCTACTAGACCCCCATGGGAGCTCCTAAGACTCCCTCCCCTCAGTCTAGATGTCTGTATTACCACGTAATGACAATTATTTTCACATTCTTTGAGGATTAGTCAATTATTAATGACCTGTCACACCAACGCAATCCCCATTAATGACTTGTCACACCTTATTTAATGCTCAATCCCAAGTTTACTTATCGGACCCGAGTACTCTACTTGCTCGGTATCATATTTTTGATGAATTGCACGTGTTTTGACAACTACATATGGCCCACATGTCAGATTCTCATTGGTTGGCCATCAATGTCCCATCAACTGCCCCTAGGCTCCATTTTCTCTGCATCATGGGAAAGGAGTCACACGGAGAATGGAGGCTTCCTTAGCACGCCTGATTTTTGGGGGTGGTTACTTGCACATTTGTCGCTTGTTGTTGAATTCTAATCAATTGTCTTGCCTCTTCGATTTCCACCCTCACCTACAAAATGGCATAAATAGGAAAAACTTCAGCAAGTGAAAGACTCTTCAAACACACAATTCTCTTAAGGCCCTTGATCTCCCGAGCAGTTCTTCGATGAAAACAAGCTAACAGTGACTATATGTATCTTTCCTTTGAAATCTTCTTCCTCTCCTTCTTCTATAGTACTTCCATAGCTAGGATACGTAGAACCACAACCCCTAGGTCCACTAGTTGGCCCAAAAAAGTAGAAAAGCTTAAGAAGGACACATGTGATCGAGTTCAATTTAGATGTCATAGGTCTACTTATGGCATCCCCACGGACATTTTCACCATCATCTTTAGCCCTATATTCCACAGAATTGAGATCGAAGCTAATGATCCTATGTTTTTCCACACCAAGGCCATTATGGAAGGAGGAGTTAGGTTCCCCCTCGCTCCTCTTCTCTTAAAGCTCCCGATGCGCTTGAGACTCTTCCCCTTCCAGTGTTGCATTAGTCTATTAAGGATAATAATGAGTGTAGTCACCCTTAATGCTCAGCTAGGGATGGATCTTAGGGTAGATGAAATCCCCTTTTGCTATGATTTAAAGATAGCCAACAATGAGAAGTACTACATCAAGTCTTGGGACCCTTCCATGTACTTGGTGGCGCACGTGCTTAACTCAGACAAAGGCTACACCCGGGATCTCATCATGATTAATGGTAGATGGGAGACGGGTGAAGGATTTGAATATGATGGCCTTTACTTCCCCAAGGAACCAAGGGGATCAAGAGTGTCTGTTTTCACCGTGTCCCACCCTTCTTGAGAGATATTCTGGTACTAATTTGTCTTCTTTCTTTCTTGCAGAGGGTTATAAGAGGGATGTCATCCAGCCTCTATAATATTCTATTGCTTTTGGTGACCTCTGAAGGTTTGGACCCTTGAGCCGAAGAACCCCTTTGCTTAGGCTGCGCACATACTTTTGGGGTATCGACCCAGCTACACCTATTTTTTCCAACTTCCTGAGCCCCTTCAACCCTTTCATCTGGTTAGATCGTTCCTTGGGAGAAGAAGAAGAGGCTAACATTTATGGTGACCCTGACAGAGACTCTGAAGCCATTCCCTCTACTTCCAACTCCCCTCCCCCTTTTGAATCTAAGATGCTCCATTTTTCCCGAATCACAATCGAGGACTTAGAGGTCGTCGTAGAGGCAAATAGGGACCTTGCCTTTGGACCTGGTTGGTCCTCTAGGACCATGGTTGTTGCTCCCTTCCAATTGCGACCACAACAGGAGTAGCAACAACAACAACAACAATAGCAGCAGCAGCGGCAACGGCAACAATAACACCGAGAACCTTCTCCGCCTTCCAGACAAGTGGTTCCTTTTGACCCATCCAGCTGTCGATAAGGGCAACACCAAGGGCATGAGGATGACTCGATCACTGAGTGCCAGATGAAACGTCAACGCGACACCCCACCTCATCTCACCCAAACTGAGGAGTGGGCCCCCGTGCCATCATAAGAAAAGACAAGGCAGTTTTGTTATCGGACTTCGTTATCCACTCAGCTGATGTAGCCCTGCGGCCAATGTGGTCCTACATTTTGAGGCCACCATGGCCATCCACAATGACTACTTTGACAATCGCCTCCTCTAGGGGGTGATTCAACATAATTTGGTGGTTAAAGTCCTTGTTCTTCTGTTTTCCTTCTTCCTTTTTTGTGGCATCTCAACTTGAACATATTTTTTAAGCATGCGAATAGATGGGGTCATCATTGATCACTTCTGGGACTATTTGACCAAGGCTAAACAAGCCCAGTCTATGCTGGAGGTGAAGGACTGTCACAACGGCCAGGTGGAGAGAACGGTGGCCAAACAAGCGAGGAACATTGCCGACCTCATCTGACGTGATGAAGGCCTCTTCTTTGAGATGGATAAAAATAAGGCTTCTGAGACTGAGTCAAAGAAGAGGATGGTTGAGGTTGAGCTCAAAGTTTTGGCAGTTGAGACTAAATTACTGGAAGCGGAGGCGTACTGCGTGGCCTTGACTTCAAAGGTCGAGAGGTTAGAGGAAGAGCGATCTGGATCAATTCATCTGCCTTGAGGCCTTTAATAAGTGTCGGGATCAATTCATCCCCACTTTTACAAATGGTCAAAACAAACCTTTCAAGAAATAATGGGGTAAGACACTTCAAGCGATAGGGGTGGATGCTAGTTCTGAGCTTTTTCAAGGCACTCAT